AGTTAATGGAGAGGCAGTTTCTGTAAGCAACACCAGAATGTTTCCTTCCTGCCTTCCTTACAGGATTAGCCCAGTAATTTCTTCTAACAACCGGTTCTCCGAACTGCTTAGAAGGTTAACAACCGGTTCTAGCGAATAGGTGCGAACTGGTAGAATCCCACCCCTGCTCCTAACCTACTGTTGTCCTTCTCTTCCCTTCCCTCATTGTAACAGTTCAATTTGACATAGATTAACACGTTAGTACTTACCGGCATCCACTGATTGGAGTTTCAGGATGCAACTGGAAACCTACGTCGATGGAAATGTGCCTTCAGCCCTCTTCATAGGTCTGGATTGAGGGGAGGATGCAAGTCAAGAAGTCTTGGTTCTTCCCAACCATCATCTTTCTCCGCCGCGGGATTGTCTTCCAGCCCAGGTCATGATCTCGTCTCTGGCGGTTCTCCTAGAGCAGGGCTCTGCAACCTTAAACACTGAAAGAACCATTTGGACCCATTTCCCACAGAAAACACCAGGAGTCACAAAACTTGGGTAGGTGCGGTCAACTCCACGTCACTTCCACCCAATCACATGACACACACACAAACCCATCACACCTACCCAGGTTTTGTGGCTCCTGGTGTTTTCTGTGGGAAAAGGGTCTCTCTCTCTCTCTCCCTCCCCCTCATTTGTTTTTAGATTTTACCTAGGTCAGGTGAGGAGTGACTGGGAGGGGAGGGCAATGGGCGGGGCCAGCCAGTGGTGGGATCACCCAACAGGGAGCCAGAGCAGAGGGCCCAAAGAGCCGCATGCAGCTCCAGAGTTGCGGGTTGCTGACACCCGTCCTAGACACCTCTTAGAAAAACCCAACAGGAGTTCCTTCTTCCTTTAAAGACTCCTGAACTGAACTCGAGTGGAGCGGAGGTTAACCAGAGAAAATACTCACCTTCAAAACAACTCAGGTCCGTGTGCTCCTTATATACTTACAGACCTAAGCCGCCTTGAGTCGCCATGGGCGAATAGGCGACAATATAAATCAAATGAATAAATAAATAAATACCTCACTTAAACATGAAGTTCTACAGAAGCCATCAGTCCACATGTCAACTCATAAAATATTTCTCTAGTCTTTTCAGAGTTGCCAACAGAAAGGGAGGGGGAGCAGTGCAGCAGTTTGGAAATCGAAAGTGCATTCCATAAATGTTTTCAAAGATAAGTAACTAGGTGACCGAAGTTTCTGCAGTGCAAAATTCTAACTGGAGAGCATGATTGATGACTCTTGGCTATGGATGTGTCCGTTGGAGAATATGATTTATGACATAACCCAGGGGTGGGGGAAACCAGGGTCAAGGATGACAATGAATTATGTGTCTCAGAGTCGGCTGCACCCAGGCAGTGCTGGTATGTTAACTCCCAATAAATCCTTTTTAAGTTTTGAAAGTTTGGCTCGAGAATATGATTTAAATGGGGGTAACTGCCGGAATCCTGACACCACGCACGTACTCATAATGTAATTCTGACTACAGCACCTTTTTCCACCTCTGACTTGGAAGAAAGACATGCAATATGAATAATACAACCCTAAACTTCTGAGATTTGCTTGGAGCTGAGGACAAAGTACCCAAAGGCAAGTAGGTTAAATAATCTTTATTTCTGAAGTTGCATCAGGCAGTTTTACAAATAGATTTTAAATTATTCGTCTTTTAAAAAGAGGAAACCAACCAACCAACAACCAACAACGATGACAAAATCCATTCCTTGGCCTATTTTGTACTCTCCGATCACATGTTAACAAGAGCTAAAAAATAAAATTCAATTTATAGGATCTCTTAATATAATCTCTGACTTTTTTTTATCTTACGGGGGGTGGGGAAATGGGATTTATTATAATACATTAATTAGGCAAGGGGAATCAAGCAAACAGAAACTCCTTTAAGAAGGAGTTTAATCTCCGGTTTAACTCTGAGCAGAGTTAAAAGTTTTCTGATTTTCTTTTAAAGCATTGATTTATTTAAAAAAATATATCGCATGGAAGTGCAAAATAGACAAGCAATAAAACATCCAGAAAGACCATCTTTGGTGATTATGAACTGAGAACCTTCACCCTTTAAGTCAAACTTTGGAAACAAGAATGGGATTTCGAAAAGAGACACTGAATTCGCAAACGTCATAGCAACAATGGGCTTATCTTAGGAAAAACGGAGTACAAAAATGCATCGGTTTAGAGAAACGCGCAAAGGAACCCATGCAATTTTTTGTGCAAACTTGTTTTGTTTTTGTTTTAAAAAAAAATCTGAAAATGATGGGGAAAGAAACTTTGGGGCAAGAAGAGAAGGAAGTTCTAAAATAGAGAAGTTTATTCCTTTATCCTTAGCTGCTTATCACTGTTCCTGGTTGTTCTGAAGTTCCCACTAACTTGGTTTCTCCTAAAAATGAAACGGAAGTGACCGTGCAGACGGTAGAAGGGAAGGAGGGGAGGGAGAACCATAGAGTCCTAGGGGTAAGAAGGGGGCCTTGGAGATCATCTAGTCCAACCCCCGGTTGGACATTCTTAATCTCCACCGTTTTTTTTTTTTCCAATCGTGATTGTTAAGGGGAGGTTTACCTGGATTTGCGACGGAGAGCAAAGAGATCCGTCCGTTGTTAAGCGAGGCGAGGGTCAGCCGGGGTTATCCAAAAGCTCTTTTTCTCATTTTTTTTTGGTTTTAATCCGGCAATTAGGGCGAGAAAGCAACTTGCAGGCTGGAGGGGAAGAAATAAGATCTGGGAACGAACTCTTTTCCCCCTCAAATAGCCTGGCCTGCTCTAAAAGAAGAGAAAAGAATATATTTCTGCAACGACTTGATAGGAGAAAGGACTCGG